AAATTCTGTATTTTCTGCCACATTTCAAGGCAGCGTCCCTCGACTCGACCTCCGTCAAGCTGTGTTTATCACGTGATTCTCCTGCGATGTATGCTGGGAAGGCGATGTAAGCTGTTTTGGAAGTGTGTTTATGTATGTTATTCCCTATTCCAGAAAATTTGTTGCTATATTAACAAGAATTCTAGAGAGTATGGTAGGTGGTGTTAAAATAATATTGATAAATGAATTTTAATTAGCTAGGACGCAACAGAAAAGTGTTTTTTCAGTAATTACATAAAATACGGTGAGCGATCCATAAACAAACTTTCTTCATTCGCAAAGGGAAGAAGAAGTAGACATTCTTTGGCGGCGAACATAATGTGTGGAACTGTTAACTTGTTTCATACGTAATTACAGAAGTTACACAGCTGATGTTTGAGTGCGGCGTGTTCAGAGTTACAAATTGGGAACTTATTATTCCAAAGTTATAACTTATGTAATAGAAACAATTTTGTTTGCCGGTATAGACTTCATGTCAAGCAGCAATGGTACCATTAGGACCAACACCTATTCATCCTCAGTCAGTCCCAAATAACACTGCTTCAGCCCCAGCTGCTTTGAACACATCTGGTGGAGGTTCAACTAAATCAAACTCGAGTGTGGTATGTAGCTTCAGAAGCATCCGTGCTTTTAGCCTTGAAATTATAGCTTAAATAATCCTGGTTTCTTCTGAATGGAGTAGAAAATACATTACATTCTATAGCATATATGACAATATTATTGTTTGAGATTTGAGGTTCCGACAGTGGTGAATATGTCGGCTGTGGCCCTCTAGGTTGACACTGTGTAGTCTTGTAGATACTGTTTTGGAGAAACATATCACCTTGTCTTCTGAGTTCAAGTGAAGAGGGAGGAAGTATGTTCATCCACAGTGTCCATAAGCAGCAATGAGAATATTTATGACTACTTTTATATATGTGGCTAGTAAATTTAAATTGTATTTCTGGAAACCAGTGCATAAATCCTTAAGTTTTATGATTGTATTCACCATCTGAATGCGAGGTTTGTAATAAAACCTAATTACCAGTGCTGAGACACCGCCTTGTAATGAGATTGGAAGTAAAACTTCTCCCATGGTTGTTCATAGGTTCAGTGCCCACCAGAATTCAGGGTTGTTTTTGAAATGTTATTACAGGAAAGTGCAAAATCCACTAAAGGGTTGAAGATTATAGTCGGCAAATAAAACAGTACTTGTTGAGTTTATTACAGTATGTATCCTGAAAAAAAGGGGTTTATGTACCAGTAACTTTGCAGCATTCACATAGTGTTTGATTAATTCAAATATAAACACAATCCAACCACATCTCTGGTTCAGGTCTTCAGATTAAAGAAAATCACTAGAAAAACTGTTTACTTCTTTTCCAGTTTCTTCTGGATAGAAGAGTATAAAACACTCTCAGGACACTGTCTAATGGTATGGTTACAGTGCTCATGAGCAGGTCACAACAAAATGAAACATTGCAGGGTGTAAGATATTTGTACTTCTCTCTGTTTCAGAAACCAAACTACACCCTAAAGTTCACACTTGCAGGACATACCAAAGCAGTGTCTTCTGTCAAGTTCAGCCCTAATGGAGAATGGTTGGCCAGTTCTTGTAAGTGCAGATTTGAAGTAGTGGTTACTGGGTATAGTTTAAAGAAGCCACAGTTGTACATTTGTAAAACGAGAAAATAATGTTGGTATAAATGCGATTTTCATGTCATCACCTTTGCTTAAGATTTCAGTGTATCTGACATAATGTGAGAAAATGCAAACTACTGTTTTTAACTCTCCCCACAGATGAAAACAGCACGTGGTTAGCAAATAAATATACTTCCTCTCTGTTTTAATGGATTATTGCAGTTCTTCGTGTAGAGTTTGATGTAACAGTGGTTTACACATGTTGAAAATAATATAGCCGAAGTTTTTGTTATACTTGACTGGTTCCTACAGAAAAATACTTGTAGCAATCTATGGCTGCTTATGTGGCACTGCACCATTCACTAAATTTTAGATTTGCCATTGATACAACATTGTTAAAGGACATGGATGCAGCAGATTCTTCCGTAGGATATGCTTGCTAAAGGAGGTTGTTACCTTGCATGTATTTTTATAGTATGCCAAAGCACTATTTTGCCAATCCATTTTGCTTTATATTGGAGTTAATTTCCTTACAGCTGCAGACAAGCTGATAAAGATCTGGGGAGCTTACGATGGCAAATTTGAGAAGACAATATCAGGTCACAAGCTTGGGATATCTGATGTAGCTTGGTCAAGTGACAGCAGACTCCTGGTCAGTGCCTCTGATGACAAAACCCTGAAGATATGGGAGCTGAGTTCAGTAAGTCAGCATCATAATAAACATGTTACTGTCCATACTCGAAGATTGTATTTTAATGTAATGATCAAATTCCAGGGAAAGTGCCTCAAGACATTAAAAGGACATAGCAACTATGTGTTCTGCTGCAACTTCAACCCACAGTCAAACCTCATCGTGTCAGGATCGGTAAGTTTCTGTCTCCACATTTTATTAAAGAATGAGATACTGCAGCAGGTGTCATGCTGAAGAACAGTGTACTGTTTCAGTTTGATGAGAGTGTGCGCATCTGGGATGTGAGGACAGGGAAATGTCTCAAGACACTACCAGCCCATTCAGACCCTGTCAGTGCTGTGCACTTCAATAGAGATGGATCTCTAATAGTCTCCAGCAGTTATGATGGACTCTGGTAAAGTGGCCTAGTCTAAATATTTGTTACAAGTCAGATTATTTTAAATATATGGTCCCTCTTTACCGATGTGATGGACTGTAAAACGGAACATCTAACCTCTCCACCTGCCCCATTCCTCAATCACTTTGTGTAAATTCATTACTTCATTACAGAGGATTGGCTGTTTTAGAGTAAAGTACAGGCTCTTATGGGCCTTTATTTTAGTGAAACATTTCCAAATAGTTCCCCTTTGTCGACAGTGTGCGAGTATGTAATAATTCTTCTATTAAATAAATTTGGTGGAGGTGTTTATAGTTCATTAGCATGGACATAACTTTTAGATGCTTCTCAACATTTACATTTAATTTACTTTACAGAGGTTGCATATACTTAAAGTAACACAGCCTCTTCTGTGTTGGCATGTTGTATATAAAGAGACAGTGCAATAGATGGTATACAGCTTGTGCCATAATCAGATCTGATATGTTCTGTACATGTTATTTTAGAAATAGCCTCTGTGTAAAGCCGCTCATTTATCATCCCATCATTCAGCATTATACATAACCTATGCAGTTGATAAGGTAACTTTAAGGAATCCAAGAAATAAACATAACAGAAATTTGTCTCTCTCTCTGTCAGATTCCTCTAACATTGTACCATTTGAAAATTTGTTACTGAATGTCTCAATTGTGCACTGATGTATAGGTCATTATATCATGTTCATCACTATAAGTTACAATGACATTAGGAAGGACACAGTTTTCAATGTAATGGCCACTGTCCAGACATCTTTTTCTTCAGATCATTTATTACTAACATTTTGGGAATTTAAAAGTAGGGCCTACCATAACACAATTGAAAGTTTCTAGTGTATTTGAACAGCTATCGAAATAATTAACATTATTAAAAATATAATAAGAGACTGGGTGGAAGGTATGGCTGCACTAGGCATACCAAATATATCAGACAACAGTATGAAATTGAATGATGTTGAGGTTCAAAAAGAGCAGGAAATCTGGCCAGCTGAATAGCTTTCAATTGTCTAAGGATAGGACTACCAGTGGTTCAACTGCCGTTCTGTGCGTGTGTTCCACAGCCGAATATGGGATACAGCTTCAGGCCAGTGTCTGAAGACATTGATAGATGATGACAATCCACCTGTATCCTTTGTGAAGTTCTCACCCAATGGCAAATACATTCTGGCAGCCACATTGGACAACACGCTGAAGCTGTGGGACTACAGCAAGGGCAAGTGCCTCAAGACTTACACTGGACACCGCAATGAGAAGTACTGCATCTTTGCAAATTTCTCAGTGACAGGAGGAAAGGTGAGTGTATGAGTGCTAACTCTGAAGCCTGTACCACTGGTCCTAGAACTTGATCAACTGATTTACTTAATTTGTGTGTTTCATGCAGTGGATTGTGTCAGGGTCAGAAGACAACTTTGTCTACATCTGGAACCTGCAGACAAAAGAGGTGGTCCAGAAACTGCAAGGACACACAGGTGAGAGGGTGCATCCATCTGAAGAGCAAACAGGCAGCATGTGCCCTGTATTGTCTATGGAAGCAGCATTTTAGCAAAACAATAAAGAAATGTTATTTCCAATCTGGAAAGCACTTACCAGACTAATAGTCTCTGCAGCTAAGTGGCGCGCACAGCAGTCCTTGCCTCATGGATACTTGCGACTCCCTGTGGATAAAGCAGTTAGGAAATGAAGCTGACCATTTACAGGCATTAATCCCAAAATGGTTCCTCCCTTCTTATTTGGTTTATAAAACATGAAATTATGCTGTTATCATCATCATCATCATGATATCCTAGCAGTCTATCCTTGAAAGGATTGAACATATGTAAGACTGATTAATGAGGTTGTTTATGGTTTTCCTTAATGCAACCAAATTCTGGGATGGTACCTCGAAATGAATAACAGCCTTCTCTCTCAGTCCTTTAAACTTCATAAAGTGTTACCAGTTATAAACAAAGGTCCCATCTACTATTTGCTGTGTTGCAAGTGCCACCCACTTTCTGCTACACATTTACAAATCTCGCCCATAATTCATGTGCATTTGTGTGAGAATAGACACACGGACTATTGAACATGCTCAACAGATGAATCTCACAGTAAAGTCAAAACTACTCATAGTCCCCATTCACATGAGGAATTTTAAAGTGGCACAGGTGTCGTATCTGTTTACACATTACTTAAAAGCTACTGAACTAGTGGTAGGATTGATGGTGTGGACTTTCTCTCTCCTTGCTCTATTGAGGTTTGCACACCTTTCCATGAATGTAAATAGTCTGTCTGTCATGTGATTCTTGTTAATTACTCACTGAAACTTGTTCTACATGAATACCAAGATTTTTGTGGTAAACAGGGAAATGTATTTCAATGAAGTTCACATTTGTGTGTGCTTGAGTGAAAATGGAGGAATAAAAGATATATTTTACATATTATAAAGTACAGTTCATATTATTATATATCATCATCATGTGGCTTTCATGGAGTTAGGCCATTTGTTGGCCTGTTCCGGCTTCACTTTTCCAAAAGCCTCTTCAGAGGTCTTCCCTGACTTCTTCTTTTGGTACATAATTTCTTAAATTTTTGGATAGCCTGCTTCTTGCCATTCTGTCTGCATGTTCAAACCATTTTGTTTTTTCTAATACTCGAACTATTTTCAACTCCTCTACAGTTTCTGTATTAGTTTTGTAATCCATCCAATTGTAACCGTATTATTATGTAAATTTCACATATTACAAACAAAGGGTTCACCTAAAGTAATGATAAGTTACAAATAAGTCTACCCATTATCACTTATCTGTAAACTATAGTAATTCGTCGACCATTAACTCCTCCGCCATACGAATTTCGGGGCCTATGAACTTAGGCACATTCCTCAGTTCTAAAATACGATTATCACGTATGAAACATAAATTTTATTTGAAGTCCAACCAGCAGCCCTGAATTTATTTATATACCCTTTCCTCTTGTAGTAAAAAGTTGATGAAAATATTCTTCTCCACTCCATTGAAGTGGAGTCGCTTGAAGCAATTTCATCCTCCATTATATTCAGTGAAAAAACTGCCCTATTTAATACAATAGACTTGTTGCAGATGGCAGTCTTTTGGGTTGTTGCACCTTGTAGTCTGGTATGAGTTAACTGGTGTTTCAGAGGTACTTGCTGCGTCAGGGCAACATCGATGACGCGGCAAGCGCCTTTGAAACATCGGTAAACTTCCACCACACTACATGGTGCAACAGCCATGCTCCAATGAGAACCTCAGGACTCAATAGACCTTTTGGTTTCTTTCAGACGTTGTTCTTTGCACGTCCTGCCACCCCACAGAGAACATCATCGCTTCAGCTGCACTGGAAAATGACAAGACCATCAAACTATGGAAAAGTGATACATAACAAGCGGACTACTGAAAGTGTTGTGTATTTATTTGTATTGGCAGACAAATTTTATATCGGAGGCGATGGTTACTTGAACAGGTGAGCGGCAAGATATGTGTGAATGCATTGATTATTTAGAAGTGGCCCATATTTGTAAGAAGGATTCAGCAGATTTTTTGTACCGATGATTGTTACAGGGGTTGTGTAATTGTAGCCACATGTCCCAATCCCTTGTTTCACGATATTGTTTCGTAAAATAGGACAATAATATATAATAAGGAGCGTCAAGCAGAGGTAAAAATATAGCAAGATAAAAGTTATTTGATTCTTGAAATCAAAGTGAAAGCTCACTACTATATCAGATGATGAAATTACAAAACTGCCATAATGAACCTGTGCCATATTCATATCAAAGACTCGGAACAACACCAGGGCACGAAGTCCACTAAATGTGCTGCATATTCTCTTCTTCCATGTGGGAATTTAAAACTTTGCTATCCTTTTTATTTCACTGCCCACTCCTTGTCAAAAGAGAGCATAGAGCACGATTTAAGTGAAAATGTGTGCAGGAGCTTTTCATTGTGGCATTGCATGGTCCGTAATCATCCCAAGGTTAGAACTAAATTGCAGTTTAGTTCACTTGGCAGTCTTGACCAGAGCAGCAACTGTTTTGTAAGTTATTGCTTCTGATTTAGTAACAAAAACCAGAGCCATATCAAATTTTCCAAATGATTTCCCCTCGTAACTCACATAACGCATTTTGCTTGTCGATAAACTGTAAAATGGATAAATGTCTTTTTAGTTGGAAAATGTATGTACTCGTCCATATTAATGATACGTGTGTAGTTACGCTACTTATCCAACTATCAGCTTATGATAATAGATTTTGTTGATTCTCTGAACAGCGATACAGTTACAATGTATTTTCCAGCCACATGTATAAATAATTTGGAAATATTTCTGAAATGTATTTTTATGTTCTACATATTTTAGCAATGTTGGCTTGACTGTGGCAAGCAGTGACTTGTCTTATTTCAGCTATTCTCAATAAAGTCTCTGTAAAATTTTGTGTTTTCTTTATTCCTCCTTTTGTATATACTCTGAATGCACTCTGAGCTAACTTGCCGTGAATAACTTTTGGAATTAATAGAAATCCTTGTGCAATTTTCCCATGATCCATCGCCCTCCCTTTTAGGTACAAATGTCTTCCTCGACAATCTGCTCCTCCCTCAGAGTGACAGACCGAAATGAGAAAAATATTTTGAAGAAAAAACTTACCTTGCAGCCATCTTTCAAGTTTGTCGACTGAGGTTACAGTCGTAAGATACCGAAAGGAATTTAAGACGTGCAATTGACGAGATGCAAGCAAGACGTGTTACTGTTGTGCCAGCGTGTTCGATATTTCCACGTGTCGGACCTATCCGAGACGGTCTACAACGACCATTTGTAGATCTGCTATAAAGCGGCCAACTACAACCAATCGTCACACAGGTACAAAATGATTAAATTACTCTTTCTGACGGAAGGCACCGAACATATCGTTTACCAAGGCCGCAGATACAAAAGTAAACAAGTGAAAAAGTAAGATTGAAGGTTTCTAACAATGGTGAATTGTGTGAAATTGTTCTTTTGGACTTTGTAAATCATGAAACCAATGCATACCAAACGCTGGATTCTGCTTTTGTCATCCAATATAAAAGTAAAAACAGTGCGACAAATCTATTTGTTGAGGCTCCCCCTATATCTGCTGAACTTGTGGACCTCAACAAGTCCAGGCCTAAGGGTAGCTCGGCCAGGGAGACCAACATATAGGTTTTCAACTTGCATTATTATATCTAATTAAGAATTATTTTAGTGCACTAATTATATATCTTAATGTTCAATTACTTTATAGTATTTACGATAAAAATGCAGATCCGCCTCTACGACCGAATGACCGACACTAGCCTCTTGTGATAGAATTCGTGTAATTATCACTGCAGCTTTTAAAGACTTGCACTTTCAGGTGACGACACCATGATGTGGCAGGGTGGTTTGCCACAGTGTCAAGGAAAGCTGGTAATCTCCATTTTCATGTCAAAGTGACATAGGGAATACTGCGAGTCACTTCACGTTGGAGAGTTCTTTGAAACAACAGCAAACCAGTTCACCAAAATAATTATAGAAAAAACTCCTTCCATGTTTCTAACAGGACAGAACATGGAATCTTCTTGGCTTTGAATGCTTATATATATTTTCGCTATTTGTAAAATTTGTATATCTCTTGGAACTGAACCATCTCAATTTTTTTTTTAATTTCGTCTTTCTTAACTCTAAGGGGCAACGTCTTGTAATAACATAAAAAAAGACACGGCCAAGGTTTCGCGGTGCTGTGCCCGTACTCAGAGACTAAAGGATTTCTTAAGTCTTCAGACAGCGAAGATGTAATTATTAAGACTTTGTAAATATATCAACTTTAACATTTAGAAAAAGAGATAAGAAAACAAAATATCGCTTTGAAGTTTGTTATCCGGAAGGCTTTTGCAATTTAAATTGTTGATAACGAACGGGTGTACGGTTGGCGTTTGTCAGAGAGTGACGGTATGTCATGGGGTTTCTGCCGGAAGCCCGGAAGTGAAAATTTCGTTCCGGTTTATAGTGAACGCGCTGTATAATCCTGTAGAAGGTACAAATTCCCTAGCTTCACCGAAGTACCCACAGAATCGTTGCTCCACAAATTGTCTTGAGTGTTTTGTGAACGGCGCCTTTATTTGCTATAGTCGAATGTTCCGTTGGCTATTAAATAAAACTTTTGTGATTCGCTCCGCTCAGTTACCGCAAATTAGCTCCGTCTCCTTGCTTCCTCTCGTAACAACAGCCCCCAGCCACCGCATTACGTTCTGATTTTACATCACAGTTCCGCACGAAATCTACATAATATCCAATTGACTTTCATCTCCATTGCAAGTTCATCTCCAACCCACTAGATGGCTGTAGTATCCGGATTTCAATTTAAAGCGTGGATAAACGTGAGGGCCCCTCAGGGTTCTTTAAGTCCATGCCTCGCACTGCAGAAACCCTGCAATGTTGTGAAACGTGGAGAGGATGTCGCCAAATTGGTTATGAAAATTAGCTGAACTGCTCATGACCTAATCTTTCATCACAACGAAACAATTTAATTAATACTGCAGTAAATATTTATTAAAATAAGTTAAAATCCATTTACGTAACTTGGAAATGTATTTGTGGTCTCATGTAAAACCGTAGTTAAAATTGTGTTGTCTAAATACGACTGTAAATTCCTCTACAGATTTTCCGCAATATTAAATATATTATACTCCCAAAATTAAATTTAATTAAAATAGAGAGGTAACATACATAAGAATCTCATAAAATTCATATTTTAAATATAATCAGAGTAAAAATTGACAGTGGAACCACTGTTCCGGAGAATCTGACGTAAATGCGCAGACGCAGAATTAACATGAAGTGCGATGCGCCTTTGTTTGTATAAATAAATGTTTGTAGAACCTAAACCATTCGTGATATGTAAAATCTGAAAACAGATATGGAAAGCTCAAGAGGTAATACGTATTTCGTACGCAATATGTCCAGATCCATCTCTTACGGTTTTCGAGAGGCGGGCGCTTAACGC